AATGTTTAAGCAAGATTACATTACTCCCTTAAATGTTTTACAGGAAAACAGCCCAAAGGAAGGGTTAGAGGATTTGATGTGGTAGATTTAGAAAGTACAAAGGTAAGATTATAATTTATTTATTATTAAACATTTAAGTTTGATTGTGTAGGGTAGTTTAGACCTGTTCACACACTTTTAATGATTTCGAACCTCAGATATGAGGCATGTTTGAATTAATGTACTGTAATAGCAGCTGTTAACTTATAATTTAATAATTTTATCAAATCTTGTTAAATAGTTTCATTTTTGATGGAAACCAAAACACTGTTTCAGTACAAACATTTAATTCAAACTATAAATAAGGGTGCTGCATTGTGCAGGCTCGTCCTTATTCGTTTGCAAACACTGAATTAATTACTGAAGAAGTTTTTAGGACAATGCAAATTTATGGTAATTGTTCTCATACAGACAGAATATTCAGGCGTGTTAATTACCTAATTATTTCAAAATACTCTAATGCTTTTGAGAGATTGTTGCAAATTCTCTTAAAGAGAATTTGACATTTAAAATAGTTCAACTTAAACACCTTATATCAACTGTTTAACACGCTGGTGGAGGGTTTATGCTGTGGGCTTGCTTTGCTTTTCAACATTCTGTGTCAAATGTCAGCTGCACAGAAACATAGGCGCCCACAAACCTCAGCATAAAGAAGACTTTTCCTCTATAACAATATTAAATCCTGCAAAGTTCCTAGTGAGCTGCAAAAGATGCTTTTTAGTAGCTTCTATGTTATTAATTGATTAAAAAGTATTCGAGGGTGTGATTATTATCTGAATAAGCGACCAGGATCTTGACACGTGTGACAGAAAGAGGGTGGACTTTATTTTTTTTTTTTATAACTGCATCTCCATCTCAACCCACCGGAGCAAAAAAAAAAAAAAAAAACTCACGCGCATACACACCTACCCACCCGCGCGCGCGGCGCTCTCATTTTGACGTCTTCTCTACTTCCTCCCTGCTGTCCTCGCTCGCGCGCAGTGAGAGCTCGGTTGACAGCTCGCGGTGTCTCACGCGCGGCCGGATTCAGAACATTAACGCAGCTTCTTTTTTTTTTTTTTACCGGCGGAACGTGCGGGACATTTTCACGCGCGGGTTGAAACGCAGAAGGTACTATATCTTTTTTTTTTTTTATTATTCACAAAAAAAGGGTTGGGAAATGAGTATAAAGCTATTCAATGTGAACTTGAAAGGTTATTTGTCACTAGAATGCGATTTGAAGGAACATTCCCATTAAGACTTAAAGTCAAACATTTTGCTTAAAATGTGAAGCCATGTATCTGCCTATTATAGACGCTGTCAGTCCTGAAGGAAAGCAGAATAGTCATTTTAAATGAGTGGTTTTCTTTTTTTAACAGCAGGACCTCCAACTTGTGGTTTCTCTTAGGAAAGCAAACAACAAACCCCTTACTAGTCAGAGACTTTATTTTAGAGCATGTCTGGTGCTGGGTTATAATTTCCCTATTGGGCTCCAGCCTGTAGAATGGTAGAGAGAGTGTGTGTGTGTGTACCTGTCTAGCCCTCGGTTTGAGGACAATTTTTCCAATTTCACCTTCAAATTGAGGACAAGTTGTTGCAAAGAGAGGATATTCTGTTTGTTTTTTAACTTTGTTTATTAAGCAAAATGATCTCAGACAATATTTCACATAAATGTACAGTTTGTACAGTCAATCAACCCCCACACATACAAACCAAAACAGACTAACCCTTAGCAAAAAGTAGTATATTCAAGTATACTAAAAGTGCACTAATTTCATACTTAAAATCAGGCAGTGCACTTAGAGTTTACTTATTCTGAACTATATTTCATATACTTAACAATAGTATAGTCAAGTGTACTTGACTATATTATTGTTTATTTTATTGTTTACTAAAGTATACTTTAAGTATACTTTAGTAAACTTAAAAACTGCCCCAATTTAGTTCACATAAAGTACATTGTTCGGTATACTTTCTAAACTTATACTTAAGTATTCTTAATAGAATTTACTTCAAGTATACTACTTTTTGCTAAGGAAATATATGAGGGGCGTTCCATAAGTAATGCCTCTGGCCCACTTCCAGATGTTTGATCAAGCTGAAATTTTGCATTTGAAGTATTTTAAATCTCTATAGATTGAATAGCAAATTACAGCTCTGAACTAATTGTGGTTTCTCATTTGCTGGTGTTAAAACTGAGTCAAGTCTGAGTTTTTGCATTTAAAAGGGAGACTTTTGATCAAATGAAAGTAACTTATCGTGATAATGTCCCATAATATAACCTTGTAAAACATTTTGCAAGGTCATATAACGGGCATCATCGCTGTAAGTTACTTTAATATCATCTTTCCAGGGTGAGTCCTTTCAAATAGAAAAACTGGATCCCTGCTCGACACTCAACAGGCTCCATTTCAGACTTTGCTCAGTTCAAACACCTGTAAGTCAGAGTCCACCAATAGATCAGAGCTGTAATTTTCTACTTAATCTATAGAGATTTAAATAACGTCATATGCAAAATTTCAGCTGGATCAAACATCTGGAAGTGCGTCAGGGGCATTACTTATTGAACGCCCCTCATACAAAGACAAACAAGAAAAAAAACCTACCCATCAAACAGCCAATGCTAAATACAAGGCATAATTATATAGACATAGCCACAGCCAGACATAGCATACTAATAATCATGTTCAGCATGTCCCCCGTAAGCATTGGGTTCAGGAATAAGTGTGATATCAGACTTGTTGACATATTCAAGTAATTGTCCCCAAAGATTCATAAACATTCCACTTCTGCCCATCATAGACAGTCTGATTTTTTGTAGTTTTATAAAATAGAGGATGTCCTTAATCCAATGGATGTGTGAAGGTGGTACAGAAGATTTCCAGTTCACAACAATCAGTCGTCTCACCAGTAGAGTGGCAAAAGCAAGAACATCTTTTTTCGCTTTTGCAAAGGAAGCCAAAGTATATGTCCCTAAGGAGAGGGGGGATCACAAATATCGCAGTAAGTGCATTGGGTTTGATTTTTTCACCCAGTACTTCTGACAAAATGGCAAACATATCTGACCAGTAACTACATAATGAGGGGCAAAACCAAAACATATGTACAAGGTCGGCTTCAGACTGCTGGCATCTATCACAAGTTGCAGTTATTCCATCATACGTTTTAGCCAATCTAGCTTTAGTATAATAGACACGATGTACCACTTTAAATTGGATGAGAGCATGTCTAGCGCAGATAGAAGATTTATGTATTTTTTTTTTATTTCTTGTGAAGGCACCACCTCCAAGTCCTCCTCCCACAACCCTTTTACAAAGTATAGGTGTTCAGGATTTAGAAGTTTAATGTGCTACTGGTTAGATTGAGGGTTAGGACATAGAAAAGGTTGAAAATCAATGGAAGTCAATGGGAGTAAACACATGGTCCTCACTATGATGGCAGAACAAGTATGGGTGTGTGTGTTGAAGCATATTATGGGTGTTCATTTTCAATGGCCTTGCATAAAAAATAAAAATACACCTTCATCAAGTATATTCATGTAACATCTATAATATAATATTAGTAATGTAACTTATTCTAATATTAATGCTGCCACCACCGTGTTTCTACTTCTTAGATTGGTGCGTTTAATTTTAATAACTACTTATAACATTAAGGAGTGAGGCCAAACAGTTCAGATTGGTCTCCTCTGACCAAAGCACAGGCTACCACACGCTTTGCTGTGGATCCCTGCAGCTCTTGGCTGCTGCTCTAAATACCGGACCACCATCTCTTGTTACTTTTGCTGTTGTGCCAAACTGAATATAAAGTTAGATGCAAAAGTTTTGGATACTGTTTTATAATAGTTTTTTTTAGTAAAGATATTTGAAAAGGATGCACTGTTTTCTTTTAACTCTACAGTTATACCCTTCCTTGTATTGATTCATTGCATAAAATGCCAACAGAATCCATTGAGGTTGTTATTTTTAATGTGAAAAAGCAGGAAACACCTGCTGTTCCTGCTTAAACTTTAACCTGAAGACCTGAGCAGTAAAAGCTCTTATCTAAAACCAGCTGAAGATCCTATCATTAAACCAAAAGGAATGCCTGACCATAAATGCTTCTTATCTTTAATATGGTTGCCAGATTCAGTACATGTCCCCCTGTGATTACGTGTTCTTTAAAATAACCTACCAGTCTTTTGCACATATAAAACATGCGACTTAGTTAATCACATTTTTATCGCAAATTCTAAACAAATCTGATCTTCCCAAGTAGCTTAGAGCAAAAGTTCTTCATTAGATATCGCTATGTGTTGCATAGTGAAACATGAAGAGTTTAGGACAAGATAATAGAAAACACACAACAGTTTTCATATAAACAGACTCTAATCGCCCTCAATCTTGACCTCAGCTTCACCAGACAGGTCACACCCACAACTCCCTTCTCTTAAAGCTCTGAGGTCTCTACTGAAGCTCTGCTTGGTTGCATGCTTTGCAGCCAAACTTCCAAAGCCACATCTGAAGCAGTGTAGCGGTTCACACGACGTCACGCAGACTTTGGGGGCTTGTCATAAAAAAAGAGCTAGTCTTGTATGGTAAGGGGCCAGAAAGCCTTTACCTAGCTTGGTTTGTCTGAAATGTATGTGCCACTCTTATCTGTTTTGCTGTGCGCGAGCAAACAGGGGGCATCTGAGTTTGTAGCAGGATCAAATGTCCTTCTCAACCACTTTACTGTAATTTGATTAGAATGCTGCATGTTGTTAATGCTGCATGTTGTTAGATGTGTCTCTGTGAGGGAAATTTGCACCATGCATCATCACTAATGCGTGCTCTCTGCAAATCTGAACACAATCATGTCCTTTTTCCATGTTTATTTAGATGCTGCCTTATTGGTTGCCGGTTCCCAGTGGTTGTTAGCCATCTGCCGCGGCTAACATGGAGCGAGAGGGCTCATTTAGGAGGTAAGACCACAAACACGCTCCTTAGCAAACACTGCCCTTCAGTTTCACCTCAGCTCCTACTGTCTGTGTCCCTTACAGATACACAAAGACTCTCAATACTGTACATTAATGCACATGCATTCCTAGATGACCTCATTCGTGCTTTCACTCTTCTTCTTCCTTTGTTCGGTGATTAGACTGCAGCCTTCCTGTGCAGAATAGGGGCCAAAAATTCAGATGTGTTTCACTTCCTGCTCATATCAGAGCTCTTTGCCTTTTTCAAATCCAGAAAAGGACACTTTCCTCCTCAGCTCAGATAACATGTCTAGACTGTGATAGTGACTCTGTGCTTATTTTAAGAGTCATTATCTATTTATTGTCTAAGCTTGAAAGATTTCTTAATTAAAGCATGGCTATAAGTGTGACTCTAAAGCACTTTTTTTTTTAGATATTTTTGAGATTTGCAGTGAGCTGAGCTAAGTGACTGAATTATTTATGTGGATCCAATGTAATGATATTCCTGCAAATTAATTTGATTTCCGTTATAAAACAAAGTATAAAAACTGATTTGAGAATTGGGATTGTTTTGCTATTTCCAGTCAGTTTCTTGCCAATTCTTCTATATAAGCATCTGAAATTTCTGTTTTAAAGTATGATCGATCCAAAATAGTGACTCTTTTTCAGTGGTGTAGCTGCACAATCTTATTGTAGTTTAAGTTAGAGTTTTGTGGTGAAGTATTTCATAAAGCTTAGAAGCTTTATTCTCAAACATTGTTTGTTTTCGTAAAACAGATTATAACCTGGAATGTGTTTAGAACCCCCTTGATTATTTTATGGAAATATTTCCTAATGACTAATTTATCTTTCTGGTGATGAAAAGAAATTGTTGTTAAAGTTTAAAAAGTGTCAGTGTAAAGCAACAGGTAGGGGAGGGGGAGTGCTATAGTTTTGTTCCTTTTATTTAGTGAAGGCATGGTTGACTTTATTGAGAATCTCAGGCTTCACACTGAGGAAATACCACACGGGAAAGTACTTTTTGAAAACTCTGGACTATCCTTCATACTGGACACTAACCATAACCCTCTGCTTTCATCTCAAACTGAAATGGTAAGAGAAAAAGATGGAGGGAAACGCGTCACCTTTAAACTCTTCCCTCCCTCTTTGAACCTCAAAGGGTTCCTTTGTTCGCCTGGTACAAAAGCTCTCATGGTCACATGGCCGGCGAGCTGACACAGACCGGCGAAGGGACAGAGACACGGAGAGGTAGAACGGGTCAGGAAGAGTAAAGCTGGGAACAGGGAGGCAGACGCGCTGCTTCCATCCAGATTACTGTGACTCACACACATGGAGTGGGGCTATGCGATACCCTTTTATGTGCTTCAGTAAGTATAACATCATGTTTGTGCCAGCAGAAGATGGTGGGAATATTTTTGTTTATAGAAAAAACTTCTGTTTATAGTCCTGCAATGCCTTGCACAGAATTAGACATGGCTTTCTCTTCTTCTTTTTTTCAACACACTGCTTTGCTCCAAACTTCTAAGATAATTTCTTTGTCCTCTTTATTTATCTGTTTGTCCTTCAGTTGGGGTAACTGAAATTAACTTGCTTTTACCCGTCTATGAATATTTTAACCACGTAAACATGGGAGAAAAGGTAACCATCCTGTTATTTTAGAAATTAGTTTAGTAAAATCGAACCAGTATAAGCTTTGATTTTTAACAAGTGTAATATGCTTCATTGCCTGGATGATTCTTTGATTCCTTACCTCATTGTTTCCCCAAAAAGATCAGTGGTCTGATATCATTGTTAACATTTAATAATGGTGTCTGCCTTCAATCTAATCTATCGTTTTGTGCCAACTTGTGTCTATAAATGCATGTTTTTCTCTTCCTTCCTGCTGGATCTCAAGGAGCCTTCACAACAAACTGCGGTTGGGCACCGGCTCGTCCTCCAGCCTCACCGACCTCTCGCAAGCCAAATGTTCTTCAGGGGCTGGGGAGAAGGGAGGGACAGCTGGGGGGCTGTCAGAGGAGGGCGGGAGGAGCAAAGAGACTCAGCAGAGGAGGGCCGGTGCCAACGCCACCTGGAACAGGTCAGTGCATCAGCTATTCATCATGTTTGCTCTTCACATTTCAGACGTATCCCTCACAAATTCATTCATACTTTTTGATATGAAAGCACTAAAATAACATTGCATAATAATTTAATGCATTTTAATTGTTTGTCTTTTAAATTATTTCATTTTGTGTTTCTTCAGCATCCAAAACGCAGTGATCTCAGTTTTCCAGAAGAAGGAGCTGGGAGTAAATGAACTCTATACTTTAAATGAAGGTGTCAGGTAAGCTAGCTGTCATAAGCATACTGGACTTTTTTAAATTTCAGCTTTTTTCTTATTTAAGTTATGTAACAAAATCATATTGTTGTCCTAAACTGTGAGTTGTAAGAGTCGCCCTCATTCTCAGACCTGCACATGCATGGCAACAGCTGCTTGACCTGAATAAGGAACACCTTATGATTATTTGATCAGATAGGAAAGGACAGGTTAAGGTTACAAATGGGTCATTGCTGCTTACTTTCAGTGTACCTGAGGGATGTTTGGACAGGGCTTTCAAAACTGTGTGGTGTAAATATTAAAGCACACAAACAGCTTCCTAACATAAACCTACAGGTACGTAGATGAGTTTTTTTTATTTTTTTTATTGAAAATTGATCCAAATGTCATCCTATCATTCTGAGTTAAAAGAATTTGAAACAATCCTTCTCTGCTCTGATCCTCTAAATGAAATCCTCTGCAAAAAATTACCTTTACATATCAGCTAATTCTTAAAGGAGTCTACTTTAAATTTATATTCAATTTATCTGTGTTCTTCTGCATCAGAGCTGACAAAAAAGATAAATAAATAAATACAACTGTAGAAAAACATTACAAATTTTCATGTAGTACTAACTCTGGAGGAGCTGCAGAGATATGCGGCTCAGGTTTGACATCAGAATCCACAAATCAATGCTTAATGCAGTGTTTAATTTATTTGTTTTAAACGTATTTCATAATTCATTACTTCAACATTTAATCTTTTTTATGATCCAGTTTCCTTCCACACACTTAAAAATGTGTAGGCTGCAGCTGCTTTTCTTTTTTGAAATATTTACACTGTTTAGTTTCAGTAACAAATCACCATGAACTCACCATCCTGACTGATAAGGGATAGTTCCTCCAACATCGCTCAAAGAAAGAGTGCAAAATGCACGTCTTTTAAATATGAGCTCCCATTTTAGTCTCTCTACACTGGCTCCCTGTACATTTTAGGATTCATTTTAAAGTTTTTTTATTTGTTTTTAAGTCACTCTCTCACTCCATGCAGTCACTCTTGCTCCATCTTATCTTTCTGAGATGCTGCACCTTCATACACCGTCCAGTTCACTCAGGTCAGCCTATCAGCTGCTTCTTGAGATGCCTAAAGCTAAACGGAAGCGTAGTCGTTTTTCTGTGTGGCGGCTTCCAGTGCGGATTAAAAAGTCTACCTTTCTGTCTGATTTTAAACTCATCTTTTTGCCTTGGCTTTCAAAACTATGTTAAATGTTTATTTTGGCCTGTGATAAATAATTTTAAACTATTTTTATTTTATTATAGGTTTTATAATATTGATTTTATGCTTTTATTTTTTTGTGTCTTGTAATGTTTTATGTTGTTACGCTTTGCAGCACTTTGGTCCTTTGAGAAATTTTAAAGTGCTTTATAAATAAAGTAGTATTGGATAATAACAGTGATGGTAGCATAAAAACAAGCTATTTCAATTTTAGTATTTCACATAAAAACCATCTACAGTACAGGAAAAACATTTAAACAGATGTTGAATGAATGTTTTTGTTAGGGTTTCTGTACTATGTAACCGGTTGAAAAGTGGTTTCACATGTAAAGAGCCGAGCAGCCATATTTATCTCCAGGGCCTCATGTTCTCTATTTGCCAGAGGTAAAATCTTTTTTCAGATGTGGCCGTATCTCCTGAACACAGAGCGCACATCGCTGCTAATTTCCTGAGACGTCTGCTATTTAAACACAGCAGTTTACTCAGCGAACCCGTCTCCATCTGCTTCATTTTCCATCTAAAGACCAACCGGTGATGTGTGTGCGTCACTTCATGCTTTAAACAACCTCGTCTCTCTGTGTTTCATAGGCAGCTGCTGAAGACAGAGCTGGGCTCCTTCTTCACCGAGTACCTGCAGAATCAGCTCCTCACCAAAGGCATGGTCATACTGAGGGACAAGATACGCTTCTATGAAGGTATGCATAACTTATAGCTGGAGAGGTTCTGCACCTTCACCAAACCAAATAACACCATCCTCAAATGTTGTGTCATTTATTTTTAATTGTTTTAAACTTTAAAAAGTTTTTAAAACGAGTTCCAATGACTGTAGACCAAGAGTCTTTTGGTGTCTTAAAACACAAAGTGGTTGCATTTGCAGCTGATAGATTTCAGTGACTGGCATCATGGAAAGGATACCCACAGAAAGTTCAGTTTCACCTCTTTCACCTACTGTCTCTTTCATCATTTGACTGGCAAGTCATGATGTTTACAGATGGTGAGGTCACAGATTTGATCAGAAATGTCTCCTTTAGCTCATAGAAAGCTTCATAGTAAGGTTAATTTTAGACTTACTAAATAAACTGGGCGTATGTGCAGTGGTAAAGTTTTAATCAGTTCTTAGACCTTGTTACCTGTTAGACAATTAAAGCTGTTTTAGCGTTTTTATTGGCTCATATTTGATCATATTTGATCCATTTTGAATTGAAAAAGCTTCCTGGATGGGAAGCGAAACGTCTTCATACATGGAAACAAAGTCCAATGGATTTTTTGTTTTTTAACCTTTTTGGAACTCATATTTGATCTGGAATAAGTTTCACAGGTGATGCATTCCACTGTGTAGCTTGCCACCATCAGTGTGTGAGTGTGTGTGTGAATGAATGTAGTGTAAAGCGCTTTGGTCAAGTCTCCTGTCTTTAATAAAGGCGCTATATAAGTACATGCCATTTACCATTTTACCATTTACTGTGTAGGTGTTGAAAAGTAAAAAAGAAACATACAAAAAAGTCACTTATTTCAGAAAATGAGACTACACATTATTTTTTATTATCTTTTATTTCTTTTATTTATCTTTTATTTCTTTTAACGTTGATGATTAGAGCTCGCAGCCAACAGTCATTTGACCTCTGTGAAATTATTAAAAACAAACTTAGCTAGCAAAAATATTTGATTATTAACAGGTAAGTCACAAATCTAGTTGGTTTGGACAGCTTTCATCATAAAGTATTTAAAAAACTACTTTTAGGGTTTTTTTTGTCATTTTATCTGATATAAAATTATTTTTGGTTATCCAAAACTAAACAATTGTAAGTGGAATGGTAATTTTTAACAGTACCACATGACATCATTTTAAAGTTTGTGGGATATTGTTCACTTTTTAGGTTTCTGAATGTTAACAGATTTTAAAACAAAGTGGTTTAGGTGAAGTCTTTCAAAGGAAGAAAAGAGTGGATTATTTAAATTAGTTTAAGTTTTTAGCCCCACTTAAAAAAACAAAAAAAAACAAGACTTTATTATTTTCTTTTGATAAGAAAACCTGTCTAGATTTTGATTGTTTGCATCATTTGTAGAGACCCAGGTTAAAAATATGCATAAAAGAGATAATCTCTTTTGAAATAAATTCTTTAGAAATGCTTTTCCATCATAAGACATCTGGCTCCCTGCTTTGATTAGCATTGTTCCTGGTCACGCTCATTAATTTCTAAGAAACTCCGACATCACTATTTTATCTGGTTTGGTCTCAGATACGACTGGCAGGGAAAATAATTATTGACTACAATCCCAGATGCCGCGTTTACATCATGAGTTAACCATTAGTCTGAACTGGGATTGCTTTATCTCTCCTTGGTGAATTCAAGTGAAGGTCATTTTCTGACTCCAAACACTGACTCACTTCAAATACTTCAAATAGACGAGGAAAGTAAGACAAAATGATCCTGTTCCCTCTGTTTCTGCGTAATGTAAAACAATGTAGGAAGATAGAAGACTCACACTTTCAGAGGAGCACACACTGACTGTGACTCTTAGTGCTGTAGTCACAGAAACAAGACAGGAAGCGATCCTTTACGTCACCATCACGTCTAGATGGTGAGAAATTTAGGATAAGCCAAACCACAGAAACCTACAGATCTATTGTTCTGACTGTACCCAAGGTGCCCAGAAGTCAATTTATGTAGGCAGGTGAAGGGATGCTGCACTTTGCAGATCTATTCATAACTTTTTTTTGCTTTTTTTATCACTGCCACATTTCTTTGTATTTCGTTGGAATTTTACGTGACAGAGCAACACAACCGTCTTTTTCTGTCATCACAATTTTAAATCTTTTTGTGGTTTTTCTCTTCCAGCTTTACACACATACAGAGAAATGTTCAAGCATTCTTCTATAGAAATAGTGCAAACTTAGTCAGAATACCTGAAACCATCTAAAAAAGGGGATTTTAAAGTATTTGCACGTATCCTCAAATGGATCTACATCTGGACCACGCTTTGATCTAAACATTGCCATTCTAAATCTGGTTTTATGTCTTATTTGGTTTCTTTTTCTTCAGTATCAGGGACTTTCCAACCCCTAAAAGATATTTCTTTATAATATTATCCTGTGTTTAGCACTATACATCTTCCAAATGCAGACCCACAGCATGATGCTTCCACTACTTAACTTAGGGGGTAATGAGGAACCAAATGCTGCAAATCTGTCACAGGCTCCAGAGTAAAATGTTAAACATATACAAAACCGAACTGATTTTATTGTCTTGATGTGATTTTTTTTGTTGCACAATTATCATCCTGGTTCCATCCAAGGTCAGAAGCTGTTGGACTCTCTGGCTGAAACCTGGGATTTCTTCTTCTGCGATGTTCTCTCCATGCTGCAGGCCATCTTCTACCCCGTGCAGGTATGAAAATCCTTAGCCATCCTCACTAATACCTTGCTGATAGCTTCATTGTGTTAATATTTTGTTTGTTTGTTTAAACAGGGAAAGGAGCCATCGGTGCGCCAACTTGCTCTCCTCCACTTCAGAAACATAATCACCCTCAACCTAAAACTGGATGAGGCTCTGTCTCGACCCCGAGCCAGAGTCCCCCCATCCATCGTCCAAATGCTGATGATACTACAGGTATCTTCTTTCTTCTTCTATTTTATATTCTTTTTCCCTCTGTTTACCCGCATTCTGAAAAAGCTTAAGCTGTTTGGGGAGCAGAAGGAGAATAAACAATCTTCTGGAGAAGAGGAGCAGGGGTTAAAGGACAAGGGCAAATGTTTTTCTTTGAAACAGATCTCAAAGGAAGTAATTCAGTGTGAACATACAGTAGAGCTGTCTTCCCATGACCAGTTGGTCCCCTCTGCACCCTCCCTGATGTGAATTCTCCGTGTTTACACTAAACCAATAACATCCCCACAAGAACAGGAAAACAGCATGAGTGTATTAGACCTTTGACTCATATGTGTGATGAGGGAGACCATTAAATATTCCTGCACTTAAAAGTAGCTGCATTTTCATGATCGCTTTTTTTGTACACGGAAGGATCTTACTCTAAATATAGTTTTTTTTTTTTATTCAATTTTTAAGTCAGGGTTGTGCATTTGCTCTATGTTGTCTTACATTTGGTATCTTTTCTTTAATTTGCACTTGATTGTGGTTTTTCAGTGTGGGTTTGCACCTTAAAGTGATTTACAGATATTAGTACAAGTTCCTAAAAACTCCGTACTACATTTATTATTTATGGCTGTCTATTCTGATTCAGTTTATTTTATGCATTTTATGGAAATATATCAAGGAAATACATAAGCCCTTATGTTGTTATGGTAAGCATCAGTGGATGAGCTCCAATGCTAAAAACAACAAGAAATTAAAGACCGTCTCACATCTGTAATCGCTTTACGGAAAATATTCCCTGATGAGACAAAAGTATACGTTTTTATGTTTTATGTGCTGTCATATCAGGTGTAAAAGTGTTGTTTCAGGTAAGCATGGTGGTGGTACTCTGATGGTATGGGCCTGCTCCGCTGACTTCTTTTAACTGAAAACCCAGAAGGAAGAAGCCATGCTTTCAGATCAATGTTCCAGCTGCAGAGCATTGATCCAAAGCTAACATAAGTACATTTTCCCTGCGCTAAACAGATACCTTCTTTATTAAGCTGTACCGCTGACTTTAAATATGCTTTTGTCAAAATACAAAAGGCATCATCGTCAAACTTTACAGAAACCTAACATCTATGAATAGGAACTCAGCTGATTATATCAGACAAGGATGGGAAAAGGAAGCAGATGTAATCATTTCACCTGAGGATTGGATGCAGATTTGGAGGAACACACTGTCCACCACAAATTCTTTAACATGGCGCGATTTCTGCTGGAAGAATCTAATTTGGTTTTTTATTACGCCAAAGCAGAGATCCAGACTGGGTGGATCACAGTCCTCTTGCTGGGGGGGATGCGGTGTGGTCTCTGCGGGTCATTTTCATATGTTTAGGGACTGTCCAGAGCTGAAGATCTTCTGGACGGACGTTAATCGATTAATCTATGAAATTATGGGTATAACCATTTCTGCTATGTACCTCGAAATACCTTCTGAGGGACTCAGTAATGGAGACACACACCTGTTGAAGATATTTATGATTGCAAGCAAGAAAGCGATTACTAAATGTTGGCTCCAGCCCAGACCCCCTACTCTGAAGCTTCTGGTGAATATTATAAAACTGATCCACGATATGGAAATGCTGACTTTTACATTACGGCTCAAGAAGGAAAAAGGAGAGAGACTCTGGGAAAGATGGGATTATTTTATTGCCAAAGGTGTGTAACAGTACATTTTTGTGAATTCATATTACTTGGACAGACACCTGGGAGTTTTTCTCTCTGTCTATTTTTGGAGAATACATATAGTAAAATGTCTGTAGAATTGTTATGCTTCTTAGTATGACTGCATACCACCTGCCCTACCCCTGGGGTTTGATTATGTGAACTTGTATGTTTAAAAATGAATAGAAATAAAGTAAAAAAAAAAAAAAAAAAAAAAAAAAAAAAAAAAAAAAAAAAAAAAAAAAAAAAAAAAAAAAAATATATATATATATATATATATATATATATATATATATATATATATAAGCTTTTATCTCTTGTAAACTAAACTAAAAATAACCATAAACACATTTTGTTCAAGTTAACAGATTCCACAGCAAACCTGAAATGCATATTTTCATATTTTTAAAGGTTTTTGAGGAAAAGGGGATAAAAAATAACAAAGAAGCTCAGATTGGATCCTGAAAGGCTTCAGCTGAATTATTTTAGGAATATCTTCAGCCTAAGGAAACAATTCCTCACAAAGGTTGTCGCCTATAGTCTATATGCTACAAGCTGTCATTTTACACTAGTAGCTGTCAAGTATGATTTTATATCTTTAGAATTGGGGGCTTTTTCTAAAACAACTGCTGGGTAATTCCCTTTAAAGCCAAAGGGTATACAATATAAAAGGGAAACCCCCCACCCCTTCTGGCTGAACTGCTCATTAACATGCAATGACCAGGACAGCTTGCATTGCATGCTAAAAGGTTTGTAAAGCTGAATCACAGAAGATGGCCGATTGAGGTTCTATAGTTAGTGCTAACTCTATTCAGTAGGAACCAGAGACAACCTGCTTTAAAAGCAATAACTTTAAAGAGAGCAGCATCTGTTATCATCCTTTAATTTCTTGTGCAACCTGCTGCTTAGAAACATAGAGGAAAAACCTCCATAATCTATAATAATAGATTAGTTCAAAAGTACTTGAACTATTTAAGTACTTAAACTGAAACTTATTGTTACATTGCCGAAATCAATGTTAGTTTTATTTGATTAGATTACTTACTACTAGTTGCTCTAACAATCTTCTGATGGTTCTTACTAACACAACAAACTTTCTAGTTCGGACCACCATGTTCCTCTCACCAGGTTACAGGACTGTCGTCTTTCTGATCATCTTTTTAGTGCCAAAATACAGAACACAGCATTACAAAAACAGCTTGGGTACTGCATGAAATAAGATACAGACTCTCCACAATTAGTAGACTATATGGAACAGGTGCATCTGGATCTATCTATATTTTTTGTCCCTATTGATATAAAGATTTGGCTTCAGTTTGCTGCTCAGTGGAGCAGTGGGTAGCACTGCTGCCTTGCAGCAAGAAGGTTCTGGGTTTCTGCATGGAGTTTGCATGTTCTCCCTGAGCATGCGTGGGTTCTCTCCGGGTACTCCGGCTTCCTCCCACAGTCCAAAAACATGACTGTTAGGTTATTTGGATTCTCTTAATTCTCCTTTGGTGTGAGTGAGTGTGTGAATGGTTGTTTGCCAGTCCCTGCGATGGACTGGTGACCTGTCCAGGGTGTACCCCGCCTCTCGCCGTAGACAGCTGGAGATATGCACCACTTGGGATAAAGCGTGTAAGAAAATGGATGGATGGTTTCAGTTCGTCCAGATGTGTCCTGACCAGTGGAGACTTGACTACTCAGTGCTTTTTAAAATATGTATTTTTGGTTCTGCTTTGGGTTTTTTTTTTTTTTATAGTCTCTGTGTAAAACAGAGGTAGTCGTTATTTTTCGTTTCTCATCTCACTGCAAAGAAAGTCTGATTTTGATTATTAATACAGTGACCTGAACCTGATAGTTCAGGGATAGCTTCCATTGTGCAGAATCCCTCTCCTGGCTCTCCTTTATCCTATTGATTGTTTATAGATCATCTTCTTTATCAGTGTGTTGTCATCCCAGTTCTGGACACCTAGATAGGAATGCTTCTGTTATTCAATTCTTCTGTTTCATTCGCTTTGAAACGTGTTTTCTCAACTCCAAGCTGAATTGATTTATTTTATCCATTATCAACCAATAAAAGGTAATAATTAATTTTTTACCTTGGTAGCTTTTTAAGCTTTTGCCCTCTACTATAACAGCTTCGGCAACAGTTAATGGTTATTTATCTGTGGTGGGCTCAAATAATCAGTAACTAAACATGGGATATGTTAACCTGTTTGACTTTCAGTATTTCCCTCCATGTTTCCTTTTTTGCTCTCTGTGCATCTAGCAGAGGCTTGTGTCTGTCTGTGTCTGGGTTAAAAATGTAGTGACTCATTTACTTAAATCCCACTCAGAGATGGAGGCCACAGGCCTTCAGACAGAGCAGCGGATGCTTTAACTAAACACACGCTTTAATCCTGTTATGTTTACTTTTAAAAAAAGACAGTAAAAAAAAAAATAGGACGGACATGCAGCCTGTTTATATTCAGTGGTGAATTATTAATCCTCATTTTATTCTTTAGGACGATGTGGCAGCAGTTGACTGAAGTGAGCTCTGCTCGTGTGGTCTGGTTCTGGGCTGGTTTCAAGCAGCAGCACGTGATTTAGAGTATAGAAACCAGGTTGGCTTCTGCAATGAAAGCCAGCTTTACATGACAGACCTTCTGTCTCAGCGCCTCCAATAGTTTTCATTATATTATTGACATCTGAGGACAGAAACAGCTTCAGTTTACTAAGTTCCTTAAACACACAGAATAAATTTGTTTGCTTATTTTATTGTTTTTAAAGCATCCAAAAAGTTGCATTAATTTCTACTTATATTAAAGCAATTAATGGCTTCACTCCTAAAAATATGTAATTTACTGTCTTTGTTCTTTACCATTTTGACATATTTTGTCACTTTTTTCATGAGATGTCTCTTCCTACAATTTCTCCATTTTATCTGAGCCTCCCTTTAATTCTAACAATTCCTTTGGTTTTTTTTTAATCTAATTTGACTTATTTTGGATCAGTCTCAGAAATGTCTCTGTCAACATACCAAATTTCATTTCTTTGCCAGATTTCTTTTAATCACTCTGTGCAGAATTGACCTTTATCTTTCCAACAATACCTAATTTTTATCAATTTTTTTTTAATCCTGAGAAAATCTGATTTCTCTCTTTATATTTTATTTCTGTGCCTTTGATCCAGGGAGTCCACGAATCCAAAGGTGTAACAGATGACTACCTCCGTCTGGAGTCTCTCATCCAGAAAGTGGTCTCTCCCTACCTCGGGACTCATGGTTTATACTCCAGAGACGAATCCTCTAATTTGCACTGCTCATCCTGCTTGTTAGGTATGTCTGTCCTTCTCTGCTCTCATCTATTGTGTTTCATGTTCTACAAAATGTCTAAATCTGTTTCTTCCTCTGTAGAAAAGAAGCTGCAGTACTCCAGAGCTCCCAAATCAAATGGCTCTCCCACTGTGAAGAATCCCGTGGTTCGCTCTAAGAGCTATAACGTTCCCATGCTGACGCCTGTCGTGGAGTACGACATAGACACGTCCTCTGGCGGCAGCACGGGCATCAGACGCCACTCCGTCTGTGAGATGTCGTCTTGCATGGAGGAGAGTAGCTCGCTGATTAAATCCGTCGTCAGGATTTCTGAAAAAATCAGCCCCTCCAACTCCTCCATATCTTCTACCACCTCTGCTGCTCTCACAGGTAAACCAGAGGCTTCAACTTTTAATTTTACTGCGCCTTGCATAAAAGCAGACACACCCCTTGAGCTTTGCCACATTTTCCCATTAAAACAACAAACTTTAATGTACTTTCTGCTGGATTTGATGTGATAAACCATCACAACGTACTGTTCACAGTTTAGGGCATCACTTTAAAACTTCACCAAGTTCATCCCTGACATATTGGCTGTTTAGCTTTGCCATTTTTCTTCCTTTTTGTTGTGAAAATATTTAACAATCATGTACTTTCCACAATATGCTCCAGTATGTCTTTTTGAGGCACTTTACATTAAAGTAGCGACAAAAAATGCTCTGATTATAACATAGCTTTTGTAACTGTTTGTTCAGACACTTTAAGATCCAGTCAAGACCTCCAGCACAGAGACAACCACAGCCCCGCGTTGCCCCACCTGCTTAAACCCCAGCAGCCCTCCCCCAGCATCCTTCCCGAGCCTTCCCCAAGTGAGGACGCTATTTGTTCTGGCTCACTGGAGTTGTTTGACTCGCCCTCTTCTTCTAAACTGCTTGCACAAGACACGAGTTCGGGGCCCAGTCCGGCCTCCAGCACGGAGATGACAGCGGACCAGAACACAGAGTCTCTGGACTCAGAGCAGGAACAAGAAGGGATCTTTCTGGACTTCGCGCACCATTGCTCAGGGGACTCGACACAGAGCGAAGACAGTGACAGGCAGAGCATGGCCTGACACTAATACAGACAGTTATTAGAAATGTTAACACTGCCTAGCTGCAGATATTCCCCACACTCTGGCGCCCTCTGTAGTTTTTCTAGAGTTCCTACATCTTAGAGACTAAAGCTGAATTATTTTTCTATTATGTGGAATCACTAAATATGTCAGGTATTTTTCCTAGGGCATAAAACAAGGAGATGTAAAATCAGACTTTATATTTATTTTTTTAAACAAACTATTTTAATAATTGTTAAATCTGTGTTTTTAAATCTTAAGCTTTTTCACCACCGCTGGGCCTTTTACTGGATTAACGGCGTAGTTCTGTTTTAGAAAGGTGGTCTTTTACTCTGTGATTAAATTTATTGTCTAATGTCTGTTTTGTAGGTTAAATGTTTCAACATTGTTAAACTATGTTTTACAGTGGCAATTTAGCCCTCAGTAAAATGAATGTCACTGCAAAATTATGGACATGCAGAGAAAAATATTCACAATTTAGCTTTAATCTAAAGACAGGATCACATAAAAGGTAATTTGCATTTGATTTACTAAATAAAACCATATAGATGTAAATTATTCCAAGTGTATAATCTTTTAATAAGCTACAGGTGGTGACTCTTGAGACCGTGAATTTAAGGAGTCCTACTGAATCATACTGTATGCAAGACATCCAGCTCCTTTGATTTATATTTCTAACATCAGAGTTCCTGCACATTTTATCACAAAATAATAATAATAAAAAACTTTAAAAAGCACCCTTAGGGCTCTCTTTGACACATATACCAAGTTTAGGAGCCTTAAGTTTAGTTCAATTGAATCTAAGGTAATCAAAAGACCAAATATTCAATTAATAGTTTTTGTCAATATATATAATAACTTTAGAAATTAACCTTTTCTATTCATGATGTTATTATTTTAGGTGGAACTATTAAATTATTTATTTAGATAAACAGTATTTTCACTTTTGTTTTTCTGTCTTTTTGCATGTGTTAAGCTAAAACAGCCACTGGTGAGTGTTTCCTCTCAGGAGCTCGCAGGAATTCCTTAAAAAACATTTAAACTAGCTTAATTAGGTCAGATTTTGTGTTATAGGTGTAGAGTTTGTAATTCTGCAGCAGACCTCCACAAGTTAATCAATACCCAGTATCAGACTAAATGTATGTGCACAGTTGCTTTTAAAATAACAGGTTGACATGGAAGAAATGCCACCCCACTTCAGAAGTGATCAGTTCTAATTGAACCGCTAGACAAACTTACAGGAAAAGATATGACCATCTAAGACTAGATGGGCTTAAACTTTGTTGGGAAAAAGTACATTTGAGAAGCCAATGAGATCCGTCTGGATCAGTTAAACATATGTCATAAGGTCCCCCATGAATGCTTCTTAAGTCTGCAATGTATTCTATTTTAAATGCATATACAGTTCAGGAAAATATCAACCAATATTATGATTATGTCTATCTGCAAAATACATAATTATGGTTGATATATTTCTAAACTGTATATGTATTTCGCCCATAGACTGCTGGAAATATGCACCACAAAGACCATGATGGAATAATAGGGAGAGGATTGATGGATATTATGATTATACATGTATACACAAAGATTCCAAAAATAAGATATAAGTTTGTTTTTGCTAAAATTGACAAAAGTCAGATTGGTAAACGTAATAAGAGAAGAGAAAGGAAGGTGGCCAAGGCAAAAGGGTGAAGAAAAGTTGTTTCACAATATCAAAAGGAAAATAAAACAACAGAAAGAAACAGGTGGGAAGGTGACAATCTTTAATGTTAAAATGTATGACTTAGACTTGGGCCTAATGAAATAAACAGACTCTTATTCGTGGTAATGAAATGCTGGGAACAGGGTTTTTTTTTTTTTTTCACTTTTCACTTTGAAATGTCAGAATTAGACTTGTCTAAGTCAATCAGGATTAACTAATAAATTAAAAGTTTTGAAAATAAAACTAGATCTTATTGGCTTATCTCAGGATGACCCAAAAAGCTATGTTTTCGATACAGCTTTTGTTGTGTTTTCGTTTGTCTTTTTATTCATTGGTTCACATTTATTACCACTAAGTGGCGGTAATGCGTTGATAAACTTTTTGCCACCCGCCAATATACACCACGAAGAAGAAGAAAGACGGAGTGGGGGCGTTTCCATTGTTTCTGCTGGGCTGCAGTTCCGCAGCTGCACCGCCAGGCGGAAGGATTCGAGGAAAATGGCGGACGGTGTGGATCACATCGACATTTACGCCGACGTAGAGGAGGAATTTAGCCAGGTACTTACTACTAAATCACCCCAGTTTTTTCTGCAATTGTGTATTTCCTGTATGATAATCATATTTTCATGATACCGTGAAAGAAATATAGTCGAAGTTGCTTATCTCGTAGTTAGGCCTCTTTCGCCATGCTGCAAGCCTGCAGATCTTCAACAGCGCTTCATGTGACATAAAGTTGTCGATTTGCATGTTTTTGCAAAGATGTTAACTTTAAATAAATTGTTATTTTGGTCAAAGTACCATATATGTTAGTGGATATCATGGGCTTTATTGTGCAGAGCACATCAGACCTCGACACAGTTCCCGCGATTAAAGCTAACACTAGCCAAACAAACGCAGTTTCCTTTGCTAGCTAGTAGCTAGCTAGCTAGCAATCTAGCTTCGTGCCTTTCTCTCAAACCAGCTGTTTAGTGAAAGTGCTGATTTGTTTGAGCGGAAATCTAATTATGTTTAGTTAGTTAAACGATTGTAGGAAACACCGCACTTATTACCAAGTGATTCCCTTTCCATTGAGTAAATTAAAACTCAAATTTATTTTCTAATGAGCTTATCCTCGCGCATTCTTTCATAGCCACGCTCTTTTGTTTACTTCTTCCTGTGTGCGACCAGAAAAGTTAACATAAACTCAATGTTGGGAGAAAACAGATTGTTTAGGCGTCATCTACACATCATTTTCCTCCTGTGTTGTAAAATACTTATAGATAAACTTAAAATACCTATAATAAGCTTACCTAATAAAATTATTTTTTTAAGTGGGTGCATATATTTGCAGTTTATCACATATTAAAATGAAATAATGGGGCGTTTGTGATTAATTAGTTTTTTTTATGTAGGGTATTGATATTATATAAATTTATAATATATATATATATATATATAATAGAGAAGGTAGACGTTTTATTATGAAGACTATAGGACTAGTTATAAGTGCCAGACAATGTTAACCTGACAACAGCCAGATGCATGTCTCGCTCCGCCCAGATGTTGTCAGGTTAAGACAATGTAGGAACTGCACTCAGAAATATCTTTGTAGTTTTTTAAAATCTATAATAAATAAATGTTGGTTTAATTTGATTAGCTTCCTATTAAAGACTAAATAAATTTTGAAGCCAGTGATATTTATCAAAAGCAGGACGACCTCATGTTTTCCTCATATCACACAGCTCTATTTTCTTATTATTCAAAATTAAGGCAAATTAGTTTGGTGGACATTTCTTAATGTTTTTAGGATGCAAATTTCAAAAGTTGTATTGTTGTTCTGTTTGGATAAGATGTTGAATTTAAAAATAATAATAATAAAAAAGGGACTCATGTAGTTTGTTATGCTCCCACCTCGTTTGGTAATTGACTAATAGTTTATTATACACGTATGTGCTTATTCAACTTTGGTCAATTGAAATATGGATATATGCATACAGATTTTTTTTTTCATCTAAGGCTTATATGTCTGCAGAATTTCTCTCCTTGTTTCACTTGTTTAATTGAGTGATTGTCTTTCTATAACAGGAACCAGAGTATCCACCTCACGAGCAGATTGATTTATACGATGATGTAATATCCCCCACGGCCAACAATGGAGATGCCCCTGAAGACCGTGACTACCTGGACTCGCTCCCTGCCCCAGGAAACACGGAAGGTGGGAAGAGTACCCCGTCTAATGCTGCATACTCCTACACAGGCAAACGGATTGCCCTATACATAGGAAACCTGACATGGGTAAGAAACAGTGAAGGCTCCATCAAATGAAACGCCTCTGACTGGTTTAAAAGCTTCAAGCATTCAATGCTCTTTTAAATTAGTCCCGCTATGTTGATGACATTGTCTTTTGTGTTGCAGTGGACGACAGATGAAGATCTGACAGAAGCTATTCGGTCAATAGGCATTTCAGATCTACTAGAGATTAAATTCTTTGAGAACCGAGCCAATGGCCAGTCTAAAGGGTAAGCTCATTCAGATCTTTGATGTGATGAGATGCATCTAGAAATAGCTATTATTATACTTTTCCTGTTTTGTTTTACTTATTTTAGCTGGAAATAATTTAGTTCTAACCTTGTACCCCCATATAACTGGGTCCCAATTCTCTGGAAACATGTATACTAACTCTGTAGGTTTTCCACAACCAGAGCTTTGTGACTTGAAACTAGGGGTGGGTATTAGCAAAGAAGTCATGATTCGATTCGAATCACGATTCACATGCCACGATGCGATTCAATCCTTATGCATCACGATACTTGAAATATTGCGATGCATCGCGATGAGTTGCGATATTTTCACTGAACACTGTAAGAAAAAGATACAGCCATTACCA